TAAAGTTCTCATGCTAATTAAATAATAGTATTTAACTTAAATTTTTGTCTTTCAAACATATTTGAAAGTGTTTAAGTTTTATGATGAATGTCTAAGAGAGAATACATTATGAGATAAGAATAAGGAAAAGTCCATACTCTAAAATGTGTGAAAGGTTGTTTCTTTACTGACCAGAATATTGAGTGTGTCTGGCTTCTATGATTTTCTAAATAGAGATCAGAAATCACCTGATAATATGACCCACCAATGTGAGATAATTTCGCATTCCAATAAATTTTTTCATTTCTCTCTAAAGTGGAAAACTAGACCTAAAGCAAATCGTTATTAAAGAGGAAACTAAGTGTAAATACATTTATTTGTTATATGTTTTATATGAAATTATGTACTAACATTAGTAAGTATTTTCATATGCTCTCTAGGTAAATTTTCAGTATACTATTACTATTACGTACGTCAGTGTTAGAAAAAGAACATCTAGAAATTACTTAAATTTGTGCTTGGCTTCAGTAATAGCCATTACATCTCCATTTATAATTGTTCTATTGGATAAAAATAGAAACAAGAAATGCATCCCATTTTGTTTTATCTACCTAATTTGAAGTACACCATGCTTGCATTTCCTTTTAGAGTTCAAGCTCAGCTCTGAACATCCCATCCTAGTCCCACTTTCGGTATCACCCTTGAGCATCCACAGTTGTGATTATCGATTTGGGTTTTGAAAGCTGCAACTTAATGGACACATATTAAAAGATATTCCAGGTGATATATATTAAGCCCAACAATCTCTAGTGTGGCATGCTTCCCAAGTTTTTTTATACTATTATTTTCAAAATTATCAGAGGTTTGTAATGCATGTGCTTATAATGTATTACAAAAACATATCTTTTATGCCCAAGTTGGTATTTTGTGATTAGGCTAAGCAAAAATGAAAGGTGGGGGAGGAGACTAGATGTACAGCTTGATAAAAAGTCCTAACGCCTTTTTGCTTTAAAATCACAAAATATCATTTAAATTTGTTTATACGACTTCTAACGCCATACTTGGGACTGTTGTGCTTGAATATATCCTTGCATTTATTCTTCACTAATACAATTGATCTATATTTGCATTTTTTGCCACAGGCATATGTGAATGTTCTAACTGCATGAGTTCTTTCTCAATCTTTGATTAGTGTGTTTAGTTGAAAGGACAGCATTTAATTTGGATTGTTAGCAATTAGTTTTTTTCTGTTGTAGATGTGATCGTTAATTTTTTTTTATGTGAAGAGTCAAAATCTGGGGCATGGGAAGAGAAATGCAAGGAATGCAATGAGGTCCTTTTATTTTGAAATACAAAAACTTAGCTACATGTACTTTCTTTCAGGAAAACAAGTGCCTGGGTTAATATTTGAAATTGCTTCTGTGTATATAAATGAATGATTGTGTTCTGTCCTTTATTATCAAACTACGCTGTTGTCAAACTGTTATTCGTCTGTTAAGTTTTATGTTTATATATTAGGATCTAAAAGAAAAAGAGAATGATGAGCTTGATATTCAGTTGAAAGTATTTGATGAGAACAAAGAGGACGACCTAACTGAATTATCACACCGTCTCAATGACATTCGTGCAGAAATGGAATATCCTTTGACAAACCACAAAAATAATTTTGCATGCATTGTGAAAAAGGGATTTGTGGGCAATTTTGTGGACCATTATTAGAGTTCTTGTCTGCCAGCCCAATTTATATCCATTTATTTACATTAGAACCTCACTATGATGCTGTCCTTGAGATTCATGCTGAGGAACTGTCAGACTGTCCTGATGATTTACACAGAATATATTGAAAGCTGCACAAAGGCTCATTGTGTTATAGGCATACTCTGCTCACTGGTCTTGAATAGAGGAGAGCCTAAGGCAGTATATCTTATGTGTAAGGATTTTTGGGGAAAAGTTCACTGAGTTCATATGCGACTATGGGTAATATACTTTTTCAGTTATTAGAAATGGTACTCCAATGACTTAGAGATATAATTCAATTCAAATAAATTTCTTATTCCCTATTCAAATATTTATGTTCATTAACAATAACAAAAATATTTCAATACAGTAGTATCTAACTATAACAAGACTATGTGGTAGAAGCATCTGAGTCAAATATAGCTAGTGTATAATCTTCCTATAGCAATGATTTTGTATGAAATGATTTTAGATCTAAGAGATGATTGTCATAGCATTGCTGGCCATTTGTTTCACACCCATTAAATTTCTTACTTATGGATTCTGGGGAAGTTGGGAAACACTTCAGAACCAAAGTGACCTTTGAGTTGGACTTTTTCTCAGTGTTGTGTTCTCCACTCCCCACCAAAAGCTAGAAGTAATATTCTCCTCCTTGAAACTCCCACAGTAGTTTGTTTGTTCTATTTTATTTATGTACACCTCTCTGCCCCTCTGAGATTGAGGGCAGAAATGTTATGTTTCATCTTTTTACTCCAGTGCTCCTATGAAAGTCTTACACATAGGTATTGGATAAATGTGTGTACAGCAAGTAACAATGTTATTATTATGAGGAATAATTTCTAGTAATTTTTCTTCATCATTAGTGATGCCAGTCTTCAGTGGCTTCTCTAATATGAAAAGCATTTTATATCGATTAATAAATATCTTGCTTTATATAGATTTAAACTGAAACTTCACCATAAATCTGTTTTTGGATCCATTCTGTAGCCATTTGAAAGACCTTGTAAGACTTGCAGCACTCTTATGTTGCATCTAAAAAGTAATCCATCATATACTTAATTCTACTTCAGAGAAAATGTTGACATTTCAGGTTATTTTGAAGATGTTGGATCGCATCTTGTCTTTTACTTTTATTTTACATTGATTTTCCAGGTCCTCACTTTTATAATAAAAATGAATCCATTTTTGAAATCTGATTTCTAGTTTACTAAAAGCTTCTAAGCTTTTACCACTCTTTTTATAACCTAAGAAAAACATCACAACTTCCATAGTTTCTACTCTCCATCTTTTATCAAATAATGAAATACAAATGAATGCAAACCGTAATAATTTCAGATTTAGTTAGTATTTCATCTGGGTAAAATAAAACTGGTTTTGTGACCTTTTAGGAGTTCACAACATGCTCATTTGCCTTCTATATTATGTGGCAGTGAAAATAGAGTAGTAGTAGCTTACATGAACAATATGGATCCTCTGTCACAACCACAGGGAGATCAAGAGGAAACCATTTTCATTGATGGTGTTCCTGTTCCAATGGTACCAGCTATAATCTGGTTTAAAATAAAATGCATAACTGACATTTAAGGTTTTGACACTCAAATGGTCTTGGAAGTATTCTTTAGGTCTGTTTCTCTAGTTAAAAGATTAAAATGATTCCATAGAATTATTTCCATTATGTAAATGTTTTAAAATACTGGATCATCGAGTTGAACGTTTATAAATAGTAATGGAAGCAAAATGATAAGTCTGTGTTTTTAAAATTTTGGTTGCTTTTTTTTCCTTTACTTACTTTCTACTGATATGAATGAAGTGTACCATCTTCTGTATAATATGTTGAAGGACACTGCTGCTGAAAATTATTTATTATCCATTCTACAACATTTTTTACTCATCAGAAATGATTATTATATCAGGTAAGACGTAGTTCTGAGAGTACTATGTTTATAATTTGAATTGGATATTAAAGGAAAATTAACTATGTGGTGGGGAATAGGTAATACATGCCTATATTTATACTTAGAGTATAAAAGTTTGACTAGGTGACATTTTAAAAAAGATGTTCATTTATTTTTAATTGGGTCAGAAGAGAGAGATTTACTTATAAAAATGGGATGCCTCAGCGATAGGACTTTTGGTAGCAATGGACGTGACAGATTTTACTGACTTTGAGATGAATATTCTTTGCTAGATAATTGTAACATAGAGACATCACCGAAGATTCTAGGGTAGAACTTTTAGATTTTTATCTTGTGCATTTTAATAAGTAAAATTTAACTGTTATATTTCTTTTATAGTATTTAGTAATAAATGTGATCTTAACATCTAAGAAAATAATAATGCTAATATTTCAGTTTTATGTCCAGTAATGTAATTCTTTAAAATAAATGAGTATGAAAATAACCCATAAAGTTAAAGGTTTTATAGTCTAGTTAACTGAGAATATTTCTGAAAACCAGAAAATTATAAAAAGGTTTCTGAGTGACTGAAATTATCCACAGACTGGTGACCATGATGTTGTATTGAACTGTTTAAGAAACTCTTAGTTTTTCTTCGTGCTCTAATTTGCATGAAATTCTAACTATGTACATTCTTTGATTTCTCAAAAACCTGCTTGATTAAAGGGAAGAGGCAGGCTACCATTAGGTCAGGTACAGTTGCAACAAAAATGACAGCTCTAAAGCAACATAGAGAACTATTATGGTTCAGACCAGTACAATAATTTCATGGGTATTATGATGTTATAGAGACATAGAAAATTCTTAAAAATATTAAATTATGTGGTATTTTTAAGCAGAAAAAGTTATAAGGTATTCAAAATAGTTGTTCTTTTCTAAATTAAGTTCTAACAATTAAAGGGATACTATGCCCATGGGTACTCAGTTACCTGGGGACATCATTTGTGTGAAGGTATCCATTTCTCAGTAACTATAAGTAAATGAGAAGTTACTCTCATAAGGCATCCTTTGCATCCTAAGAACATCCATGTGGGGTAGAAGTGCGACAAGCACTTTTATTCCACTTAGGGATGATTAACCTGGCCTCAAAGAGAACACTGTGTTTCCCACATTTGCCCAAATAGTCATCGACTAGACTGAAATTATAATCCAATGTTATTTACCCTGGACCTAATGATGACTTGAAAAAGCCCCATATGTGTAATATATTCTACTATTTATTTTTATTCTCAGGACCAGTGCCATGATTAAAGACATAGAAGAGCAATTAGAATCTATTTGGCTTCATTTTCAAAGTTTTAGTTGGTTGGCTAGTTTCCAGCACACTATATTTGGGGAGTTTATATCACAATTTGCCTACAGTAGTACTTCTTACTGATTTTTCTCTGTTGAATTTATTAGCCCCTGACAAATACTAAATCTTTCCCAAATTTTAATGCAAAAGTACCTTTAAAAAATTTTTGCTATATGTGAGTGGTCATTTTTAAGGCCCGAATTACCTTGATAGATTACAGAATTAGGATATGTTTTAAAACCTTTGACACTTTAGACAAATTGAGGCTATAGCCATGCATATTAAGTGTGTATGCTTTTAAAATGGATCTTTTAAAATATGTCAGACAAATAGATCTTTGGGATAGTCTGTAACATAAGTGTCTCAGTCCAGTTTTGTAAGCTGTTATAGTTATCTTGAGTAAAAGTACTCCAGTAAATTCAAGACATTGCCTGGCACCTAATGCCAAGAAATTCAGCTCTTATTGAAATTCAGAACTTGTGGATGCCTAGAACCATTTCTGTATCCATGGATATGGGACTAACGGCTCATTTGTTTTCATTAACTTTAGAAGCAATAGCTTAAGTAAATAGATAAGGTTGATAAATATCTTTGAACACAAGCACGAATCCCTGCAAACTGGAGTAGTAAGCCACTGAATGTTTGCAGTTGATTACATCACAATGGGGTTGGCACTGTGACATCCACACCATCTTTCAGCTTAGGCATATTTCTCCTAAGGGGGTATACTGGCTAGGAGGCACTAGAAAAAGACAGTTGCTGAATCCCTTCTAAGGAAAATTGATTTGCTTAGGTAGAAAGGGTATTCACGAATATTTTCTGTCTTTTTCAGGCCACAGTATTATAAAATAATCGAGGAGTGTGTTTCACAGATAGTGCTGCACTGCAGTGGTATGGATCCAGACTTCAAGTATAGGCAAAGATTAGACATTGATTTCACTCATCTGATAGGTATGTAATATGATCCTCACTGTCCTCTGATTGTATTTTATATCTTCTTTATAATAGGTACTTTTTAAAGGTAGGTCTCTTACTGAACTTCTGTTCATATCTGGTAAATCAATGTGTCCATGGGTACTGAAATGCTACAATTGTTAAATATAATGATCATAAGAGTTTTGCTTGTGTGATTAGAAATATTAACTAATTTGGTAAATTTTAACACTACTGAATTTGCTTTAAACTCGGTGTCCCACAAAAAGCCATTATATTATTATAGATGAATGCCTTGCTATTTAAAAGCATGACTATGGAATCCTTTAATTCATTTTATACTGGTACCTTAGTAGTTTTGTAGAAATCATGTGTACAACAGGGTCTGATTAGTGTTATAGCTATGTTATTAGTGGTCACATTTGAGAAAAGAAATAGGCTTATTTCAGTAACTTGGGACCTTTTAAGGCAATCAAATAGATCAATTTATATTTTCATAGAGCCCAGAGTGAGGAAAGAATTTGAGGTGATCATATTCATCTCCTTGGATTGCTGAGGAAACGACTTTATATCATCCTAGACTGGTAGTTAGCAATACTTTCCAGAACAATCTCTCAAGGATGATGTGAAGCCTCCCTTGTGAAATATGCTAGGCTATCTGGCCTTATAGTTAAGAGGTTTTATTTATACCTAATCGAAATCACTATTGCTAAGGTCCAAGCATGAACTCATTTATCTTTAAAGAAAGAAAACAATAGCTGTTGAATGCCACTTGTATATTATTTTTCACTCCATAGCACAGGGCAGATTCACAGAAATATTCAAAGATGGATACCTTATTTTTATTTGCTATGTGTCATTCTTTTCTATTTTTAAATGTAATGTACACTTATTGTAGGCAATCTAGAGACTTCTATAAGCGACAAACCACTAATCACAACACCATTGCTCCCTTTTCAGCTCAGTACATTTCCTTATATCTCTCTGTTTATTATCTATCTGCTTATCTATCTATCTATATGCTAATTTTTCATGGAGCATTATATTATGATAATTTTTTCATGTTAGCCTTCAGAAATGTGACTTTTAATGTCTGTATAATATTCCATTTTATGGAATATCATTATCACTTTAACCAGTCCTTTCTTATTGTACATCTAGATTACTTTAAGGTTTTCACAATTATAAATGAATCTCATGTGAACATTCTTGTGTATAAAGGTTTGCCTTTTTCTTATTTCCTTAGGATTGATTCCTGTAAGTGAGGGTATGAATTTTCACAGGACAAATGTTTTTCAGAAAGCTTGTGCCAATTTACCTTACCTGGCAGTGAATGTGAATACCAGCCTCACTGCATATTTTTCACTGAGCTTGATAAACTTAGTAGTTTATTTTATATTTTGTTGGGAGAGTCATAAGGGACTTTGTCCAAATATGCGTAATGGCTTATAATCCATTATGGGCCGTAGTTGGCACACATACTCATTCTGGCTAGCTTGTTCAGTGTTCAACAGACTTTTGTGTGAGGTACTGTGTGCCAGATACTTACGATTGTATACTATTATTCAAAAGCATGGGGGTGAGGAGAAATGAAGGGACCAGGTGAAAGAGGACAGTCAGCATCATAAACCCATTATGACCTCATCCACGTGTCACCTGTGTGACTGAACAAATCATTTAACTTCTCTAGGTTTCAATTTCCTCAACTCTAAAATCAAGTAAGTCAAATATATGAGTAGTTCTTAGTATTTTATGTTCAGAGTCCTTTTTGAGAAGCTGGTGAATGCTGTGGAACTTTCATTAGAACAAACACATGTTCACTCACACCAAAATTATCAGGTGCTTCAAGAATTTCTAGGAAATCTGTGGATCTCTATTTTAAGATCACTTGGACCTAAAGAGATTAGAGTCTCTTCTGATTTCACAAGCCTGTAAGTCTCTTTCATAAATCAGATCATATCAAATCTCTGCCTAAAACTCTCCAATGTCTTCTCATTGAAACTTAAATCAAAATCATTACCAATCATAGCTAGCACAACACACATAAGTCCCCTCTTTGACCCCATCACTTACCACTTTCCTCCTTAGTTTCTTTGCTCCAGCCTCACATTTTTTTTTTAATAAAAAGCCTTTTCGAGGTAAATTTGACATAAGAAAAACTACCTGTATGTAAAGTATACAACTTGATAATTTTGATATTTATATGTATACTTTAAACCATCATCAAAGTCAAGATCATAAACATCTTTATCACCCCTTAAAATTTCTGCATTTTCCTTTTAGTCCCTCCTTCCCATGCCTCCCACCTCTTCCCATCCTGAGACAGCTACTGATCTCTCTCTTACCAGTTTCATTTTATTTATAGTTTCTCTCTTATTAGTTTCATTTTATAA